GCAAATTTTTATGATATACGGAACCCACATAATTTCATAATTTCCAAAATATCTATTTGCTAAATTCACTGATCTCGAAATTAAAAGGAAATGCTAAAGTGCTTGTGAATATCCAAAATATCACAAGTTGGGCAGATTTAAAAGACATTCTGACTAGGAATTTTTCTGATCAAAGAGATGAAACTTGTCTAAATCGTGATTTGGTTATGTTGAGGCAAATGCCAAATGAAACGCCTCAAAAATTTTATGATAAGTGTCTTCATATTTTGAATCTGCTATGCAGCCATGTAAACGTACATGAACATTCTGAAGAAGCAAAAGTGTTAAAAAGAAATTTATATCAAGAATTAGCTCTGAAAACATTTTTGTGCGGACTACGAGAGCCCTTGGGTACAACAATTAGATGTATGAAACCCACATCTCTCAGCCAAGCTTTACAATTCGTTATATCTGAAGACAATGTCAGCTATTTCCAAAATTATAACAAAAATTTTGGAAAATCACAAAATGTGCCCCAGAATCAAACTTCCAGGCCAATGCAAAGGCCAATGATAAGTCAAAATAGACCTTCATACTTTCAGCCTACTAATTATTCATTCAGTCAGCCGAACACTTCAACATTTCAACCTAGGTTCAATTCGACTTTTCCGACTGGACCTGTAAATTTGCCAAGACCAGTTTATCGTCCTCAGAGATTTCCGACGAATTCTCAAGTTTTTAGACAAACACAGAATAACAGAAACGTTTTCAAACCTAACCCTAACCGTACTTTACCACAAACTACTCCAATGAGTACTTCTACTAGAATTTCTTTCAAACCTGAACATAATTCGACAGCCCAGCAACAACCAAAACCAAATTGGATCGCTGAAGAGCTATTCAATACAGAGACAGAAAGCAATAACACCTATGAAGTTCCTGGTAACGAATCTTTTGTTTGCGATCAAACTGTAGCTGAACCACAAAATTCAGATACATATTTCACTGATCAGTATTGCGAGTATTATACACAAGATATTCCTGAAACTGATCACGTAGAACCACCTCAAAATGTTCAGAAGGACTCATTCATAGAACACAAGACCTAGCACCAGAAGTAATTTCACTTAACGCCAGCAATGCTAGCGAACTATCCTACATTCTTTTTCCCGAATATGGAATTAAAATGTTGATCGATTCTGGATCAACTAAGTCATTTATTGATCCCAGTACTGCTCGTAAATTTTTTCCAAATTTAATCAGAGATGATCCATTCGTTGTATCAACTGTTTTTCAAAAATCCGCTCACAAATATAGTGCATCCATCCCGGCATCGAAAATTTTCAATCTTCCTTATCGTATAGATTTGAAGTTTTACCTATTTAAATTTCACAATATTTTCGATGGATTGATTGGATTAGATAATCTAAAATTATTGAGAGCCGATATTAATTTAAGCAAAGGAACTTTACATACGCCCTACGCCAAAATTAGACTAAAATTTCACCAGCTTTCTAACGACTTGAATTTGATAACCGTCGCACCTCGAACCGAACAAGTAATAAAAATCAAAACATCGATCGCCAATGGTGAAATCGTTATTCCTCATCAAAAATTTCATAATTGCGAGATACCTGAATGCCTTACGATAGCAAAAAATAATTTTGCGTTGACAACGATTTTGAATAACACTACTAAGCCTGTTACATTAAATTTTTCTCAGCCGATTTCAGTAGAATCATTCAATTTATCAGAAATGCCAGAAATTGATCTCAATTATTTAGACACGTCACAAAAATTTGACCTAGATTTGTCGAAAATCAGAATTGATCACCTAAATTCTGAAGAGAAATCAGGGATACTTCAACTTTGCAGAGAGTTTTCAGACATTTTTTTACCAGGACGGAACTCCACTAACATTTACTAATAAAGTCAAACATCAAATAAAAACTAAAAACGAAAGGCCCATTTACACAAAATCGTATCGCTATCCATTTGTTCACAGAGGCGAAGTAAATAGCCAAATACAAAAAATGTTGGATTCCAATATAATACGTCCAAGTAGCTCAGGTTATAATTCACCTATCTGGGTCATTCCAAAGAAGCTAGACGCTTCGGGGAAGCAAAAATGGAGAGTTGTAATTGACTACCGAAGTTTAAATGAACAGACTATTGACGATAAATATCCTTTACCCAATATCAACGACTTGCTAGACAAACTGGGCAGATGCCAGTATTTTACTACCCTTGACTTAGCGAGTGGTTTCCATCAAATCGAGATGGAGGAAATAGACATAGAAAAAACCGCCTTTAGTACTGAAAATGGACATTGGGAGTTTCTCCGGATGCCTTTTGGCCTAAAAAACGCGCCCGCCACATTCCAACGCGTCATGGATAATATTTTAAGGGGGATACAAAACGAGAAATGTCTCGTATATCTCGACGACATTATAATTTTTTCTACATCCCTTCAAGAACATATTGAAAATTTAAGGTCAGTTTTCCAACGACTCAGAACTTCAAAATTTAAAATACAGCTCGATAAATCAGAATTCCTTCGTAAAGAAGTAGCTTATCTCAGACATGTAGTCACACCAGACGGCGTTAAGCCAAATCCAGATAAAATTATTGCCATCCAAAAATTTCCGATTCCAAAAACGACTAAGCAGATTAAAAGCTTTCTCGGACTTATTGGTTACTATAGACGTTTTATTAAAGATTTTGCGAAACTCACAAAGCCTCTAACTAAATGTCTAAAAAAGGGAGCCAAAATTGAACACGATGCAGAATTTATTGACTGTTTCGAAAAATGTAAAAATGTTCTTATCAATGAACCGATACTCAAGTATCCAGACTTTTCTAAGCCATTTAACTTAACCACGGATGCGAGCAACGTAGCCCTTGGTTGTGTACTTTCACAAGGCCCTATAGGACAGGATCTTCCTATCGCCTATGCTTCGCGCACGCTTAATGATTCCGAACGAAATTATAGTACGATTGAGAAAGAATTACTAGCAATAGTCTGGGCGACTAAATACTTTAGACCCTATCTTTACGGGAGAAAATTCAATCTAATTACTGATCATATGCCCTTAAAATACTTATGGTCCCTTCGAGACCCTTCTTCAAAATTACTAAGATGGAAAATCAGGTTAGACGAGTATGATATGAATATCATCTATAAGAAAGGCAAACTGAATACAAATGCAGATGCCCTGTCTCGTGTAGAGATCCATACAAAAGAAACCAGTTCATTTTGGAACGACTTAGATGATTTGATTCAAGAATGCGCAGGTACTCTACACCAAAACGTTAAGTTTGACCGACCAGTTCAGAAAGGCTCATCTGAATTAAGTACACCTACATTTAACTTTTCTACCCCAAAACAACCTGATACCGAATCTATGTTCGTAAACGTCGATAATGACGAAGACAGTCTTTTTATTCAACCCCTGGACGAAATTGTAGATATCATTGAACATGAACAAGTCAATCTAGAATATCAAAATAATCGTCCTGAAAATCCAGACGAAACTGTACATTCAAATGCGGACCAACACCCCATTCAGACAATCCCTATAGTTGATTACGCAGTTAATCAGGGAAATAATCAGATTATCATAAGTACAGTAAAACATTCACCTGCACCACCAAAAATTTCTATTTTATTTGAAAGCAAGCAACGAATTAACGTACAATTTTCAGAAAATGATTTTGACGATGATGTATTTAAATTTATTCGAGATTATATTGCTCCTAACGTCATTTATCACTTAAACTTTGAAAATCCAGATATATATGAAAAATTTTCTGTTGTTCTACAAAGGATGTTTAAGTCCGATGCTTTGAAATTCAAAATGTGTAGAACCAAATTAGTCGACGTTACAGATAAAACTGATATCAAGGACATTATCCGGAATTACCACGAAAGCAAGTCGAATCATCGTGGAATTGAGGAAACGCATCAGAGAATAAAAGAAAAATATTTTTGGCCTAACTTGAAAAAATCAATCCAAACATTTATAAATGAATGTGAAATTTGTCAACAATGTAAATATGAGCGTCACCCGATAAAAATTGCGATGAATCTCACCCCGACTGCATCAAAACCTTTTGAAATCGTACATATCGATACTTTCACTTTTGAAGGTTCAAAATTTCTCACAATTATAGACAGTTTTTCTAAATATGCTCAAGCATATCAGATTACTTCGCTTTCAGGAACTGAAATTGCTGATAATCTGATATTATTCTTTTCTCATCATGGAATTCCTACCCGAATTATCGCAGATAATGGCACTGAATTCAAAAATACCGTTGTAACTGAACTTTTGTCACTTCACAAAATTAAGCTTCATTTTATTTCGCCAAATCATCCAGATTCTAATGGAGTCGTTGAACGATTTCATTCAACTATCACCGAACATTTAAGATTGTTGAACACAGAAGGCTTTCAGAAAACCCCTATAAAAATGAAAATGTTGTATGCCGTTTTAGCCTACAACCACACCTTACATTCTGTAACAAAATTAAAGCCTATAGATATAATCAATGGACATATTACGTCGAATGAACCATTCGATATCAAAATCGACCAATTACTCCTCAATGACTATACCAACAGCCACAAAGAGCGTACAAAACTATTGTATTCAAAAATAAATTCTGATCTCATTCAAAACAAAGAGAAAACGCTAGAACGCGTTAACAGAGATTGCGATAGTCCGACTATACTTGATACCGAGAAACAGTATACGTCAAAAAGCATGTTAGAAAAAAGCACGCCAACAAATTCTCAAAGCCGTGTAGACTACAAAGTGTTAATACGGAGAAAAAGACCGTCGCGACGGACCAGCACGGAAAAGTGCATATAAGTAATTTGAAACGTCCGCTACGCAAACTTTATTCGTTTGACTAAGCCTCGAGCAATTAGATAAGAAACTATGTATGTAATCTACGTTTACTTTACTCTTAATTGCACGCTAAAAATAAGATTTTCTTTCGAATATATTATTTTACAGGTTCCCAGGAATCATAGGAATCCATGGTACGATGACGTTGAAGAATTTAGAAAATAACCTAGGGTTGATACCCATGAAATTAGGGACCGCCAAAATTACAAAAAATTGTCACTCAATACTGTATTTTTACGACGTCAATTTAATAATCACTGAAGTTAATGACCTTAAGAAAAAAACTGAAAATGTTGCGACATTATCCAGGAAATATATTGAGCACTATAAACACTCAGCAAATTACCTCAATGTTTTGTATTTCTTAGAAAGAAAAGTAGACGGAAAACTAAATGACATTTTTCCCTCTACTTACGAAACTGTTCCATCATTCTCTGTTAGAATAAAAGGGTATTAATAAACGGCTTAGGTTCAATTTTCAAAGCAATCACAGGAAACTGGATGCTTCAGATGGTGAAAAATTCGAGTCTCTAATAAGCGATTTGCAGAATGATCAAAACAAGTTATCAGAAGCTATCAATAGTCAGACTACCTTATCTGTCGAACTTATCGATAATTCAATAAACCGTAAGTCAGATTACTCATAACCAAAAGCTATTGGAAGCTAAAATAAATCAGCTTTCAACAGCTATGCTTAACACACAAGCCTACATAGAAAATGGCATTTTCTTGAGAGATACAATCTCAGAGATCATGAATATCTATCATATCATAATTTCAGTGCTCCAGGATATAGAAAACTCACTTACTTTTGCAAAATTGGGAATTATGCACCCCAGTGTAATCAAACCAAAACATTTACTTCAAGCACTAAATTCAGTGGCATTAAAACTATCCACAAAGCAACTCCCTTTAGAAGTTACTTTGGATAATATCCCGATTTTTGAAAAGCTCATTAAAATCAGCTGTTATACAGTTGATAGAAAAATAACATACATTCTTCAAATTCCAATTGTTCATACATTCCAATTTGATTATTATCACTTATATTCAATTCCAACCTTTCATAAGGGTCTGTTCAAAGTAGTCATCCCTTCTGGAAAATATCTTGTAAAGAATGAGTTGTACTTCGCTTTTGCGGGAGACGCATGCACGGAAACGGTCGCAAAACAGTACGTTTGCAAAGAACTAGATTTAAGAAGAATCAAAGAATCCAATCCCTGTGATGTTCAACTCCTGGTACAAAAAACTCCCACTACCTGCCAAGAAGTAGAAGCCGTAATCACAGAGCCAGTAATGAAGAAACTGCATGATTTCGGACAATGGATCTTGCTTATACCCAATGAAACCACCATTACATTAAGCTGTCAAGAAGGCCAAGAAACAGTCAAAGTTTTGGGATCCTACTTAGCCGAAATTCCAGTCGGTTGTACACTGGAACTAAATCAAGACCTGATCGCCAATCAAGAGCCTATATCGATTGGAAGTCAGCCTATTATTTTTCCAAACATAGATAGCAATACTTCAATTGCTACCAAGCCGAGTGACTTCAGCCTTCATCTAGACCAAATAGAATTTGATGAAGTTCACAAAGTAAAAAGAAGATTAATAGAAAATCGTGTTGACATCCATTCACATAAGGTGTCGCACATTCCCAGTTCTTGGACAATCCTGTTGTATGGAGTACTGCTGCTGCTACTTTGCTGTTTTGTCTACAAGAAGATCATTCCGAAGATTTTTACTAAGCCGAAGAAACCACAAAGAACCCCGATTGAAGAAGTTGATATTTCCAATGTGCAACTTCCTCGTTAACCCTCGAAGTTGCATCTACAAGGGAGGCGTTATAGTACAGAAGATTTACCCCTACCACTAAAGAAGAGGATCGAGTTTCCCTGGATCAGCGCTTTGCCTTATCCAGTCCTATTTTATTGTATTCAGAGTTAGTTAGTCTGTTGTTAGCGCTCATACTATATACATCAATAGAATTGTATTTTTGATAATCGAGAATAAATCTTTTTAAAAAGCAAGTAGACTGACTCGGTCAGATAATTCGCTTCAGCTTCAAATTTTTGGCAATGTCGACTTGACGTTGACCATCTTTGTATAACTCAATGATCTTAGTTTTCACATCGAAATTTCTGGACCACGCGGCATGGTCTTAAAATCACTCAACTTATTCCACAATACTTGAACACAAACCAATCCTCTTCTGAGACGAAACTGTACTAAACTTACGTTGAAAAGGATTGATCTACATATTTTTTTCCCTCATAAAAAAATGCTTATATTCAGACTTGTATTGTGTTCATTGCAGGTAACGTAAAAACAAGGAATTTAGTTTTTCTACTAATAACACGTTTGTTTGTGGAGCAATGAAGTATGATTTCGTTTTCTAAAGGTATTTAGGTAAATATTCATATTTGTCTATATAGTTTTGTCCATTACTGTATATACAACGACAGTTTAATCCATTTTTTGACTTCTTACGTCTTAAGTGATTAGGATGGTAATTATTCCTAAATCTTGTATTGAATGTGTGCTCATCTGAATGTTTGATACGTATCGCGTGAATGACGATTCACAGGCTACATCCTCGTTCATGACAGTCGAGAAGCGGCAGCCGTCTAGTACACACCAGTGGCATAGGAAGTAAGAACCGATTAAAGTGTCACCATATTTTTCAGCAGCAGTTACGTACGGAGCTAGTATAATTGGAGGTCAATCTGTTAAAGGTAGGCTGAAAAAAGAAGATTTGGTCAAAAGGTCATCTGTTTTCTTCTGCCTTTCCAGATTTCCCCTCATTAGTTTCTAGTGAAAAAAAGATAGCACATAGAAACGTCAATATGACGGAAAAATCAGTTTAATTATAAGTTTCATTATTATACGGCGCTAGCGTTGTTGCTCATATATTGCTAAAACAGGTCAAAAGTCATTTGCTTTAAAGAATACAAGGGAAACATATTAGAGACGAATAAAGGACGTATGACAATAGAACCGGGTCCTGACAAAAATCCATAGGTTATTAAAATCTCTGCAAAGGATGTGACGCCCACTAAAATTCATCCAAATATTGTGGCCTCAATTGAAGGGTATGTAATTTCTAACTATATGAATAGTCAATTGCTCGTGTCCAGACTTCTAGTGTCGAAATACATTTTGTAAAAACCAACAAGGGTGGGTCGCACCGGTTTCCGCCAAAACATCACAGAAGTGGTGCGAACTCACTATATACGTCATAATGACATTAATGATAGCAACTACATTGCAGTGCCTAGCAACAAGGATTGAACAGAATAAGGTAAATCATTAATATGATTTAATGATGATGAATAATTCATTATATGAATAAAAGCTCAAGATCACAATTCATTAAAAGTGGATGGTATGGTGTTGCGGGATGGGCATGTAGAGCTGCAGACCTATTATGTAAGCTAATGGTGGATTTCATCAAGGTTGTCAAATTAACAGTCCATTATTCTCCACCTATAGGGTAACAGTCCGTCAAACACAGCGAATGAGCTTCAACATCCAATCAACAAATTTCAGCAACCAATACATATGAAATATTGAAAACAAAATATTGTCAAAGTATGAGAGGACAGCTTGTTCTTTAAACATCACTAGCTTATTGAATATTAAGAAATAATGTATAATTCAACCAAAATTTAAAGAAATGTTCCATTTTTGAGTAAAATTCATGTTTTGATTACTATTGTTGATTTTTTATTCATGTTTATATTATTTTCTTCAATTGATATGCGATTTTACTGACTTAGCATCACCTCCCGTGTTTTTTTTCCTAAAAACCTTTTGCACATAGCCATTAAACAGCTGCTTGATGACAGACTCTACCAAAAATTTCTTCGATATTGCTCGATTCCAAACATTCATTCATTTACTTGCCGTTCATCAGACCCATTATGGCACCTTAGATTGATATTCCCACAAAACAATTCAGGTTTTTTGATAGCCATACATGCATAAGTTGAATATTTTTCGTTGTTCAGGAACTGAATAAGCATCCACACTATATTTACAGCGATTAAGGAATACCCAAGTATATGTCGTAAAGCTACCAGCAAACCTAAAACCTGCAAAAAAACAGAAATTTTCAATATGTTTCTTTCTCCACGAGTACACATTCTAGGTTGTATAATTAGACATTATTTAAATAACAGCTCATTATTACATTTCAAAACTCCCCAACGAGTGACACATGTGTGGGATCAGTCAACCCTTGGTCCTAGTCACAAAACATATACACTGAAGAAGGTTTAATTCCATGCTATTCAATGATAACACGGTGACTTGTGTAGTTGTTAGCGGCCATTTTTTTGAGGGTGCGACATGGTTGCCAGATTGTGCATTAATTCTGACTATTCGTGGAATTTTTCCCAAAATGGTTGCACAAAGCTTGAAAAAAATGCAAATGAAAATTTAAAATTATTTCCATGACGCCCCAAAATAGCTGCGTCGGTACCTCGTGTTACACGTCTTGACAGTAGGGATGTTCGATACGATCCTATATTTAGAAGTATCGATACTTTTGCTTCCCATACCCGACATTTTGGATCGATATTTTTATATACGACACCTGGGTGTATCGATACATTTCTCGAGTATCGTCATCACTAGATCCGGACTGTGTCAGAAAAAGTGACTAACTTGAGATTACTTGTCCTCTTTGTTTCCTTCCGCTGCATGTTTTATTCTAATATTTTAGAGTATCGATACTTCCTAAAACGATAGGAATCGATGCATAATGATACTTTTCGTGGATCTAAATATCCCTAATCTTGACAGCTTGTCATTCTTGTCAACTGGGCTGCAGGGTGCGGCGTTGCCTTTACTATCTTACATTTTCATAAAATCTTATGACAAATAAAAGCTTCAAATGAAATATTGACGAATATGAACGGATATGCATAGAATTTAGATTATAAATCCATATTGAACATTTCAGATTGCCTATGCATGGACTTGAACCGGATTTTTCGGTATTTTTACCGAAAAGAGAATATTTACCGATGACATCATTCTCCACTGTTTTTCAAAATAATTTAAATATTTTTGTACTTGCCGAAAAAGAGCTGAAACCAAAAATAAAGCTAAAAGTTGATTTTATAGAGTATTCATAGTCTTATGCACCATATTATTAGTCATACATATGCATACACGCTCAGGTAGTCGGGCACATGAGAGGCGTAGATTTGGGTTGCCTATGATTACGAACGCACATCCTCATCCCTTACTTCGCTTGCGCTGAATTGATTTTGTGCATACAAAAGGTACAGACTGGTAGATTGCCGTCATTATCTCATCACCGGACAAGCAATAACGAAACCGAAGCCTGTCTGTTGTCAAAATAAATATTAAATTAAAATGAGAGGTGAGTTCAGGGGTAAAACAGAAAAATATTCACAATCCCATAAGCAAGAATCGAAAAAGGAGTTTTCAGAATGGTTTGCAAAGTACTTTGAAAGAGCGACCAGTATGCAAATTGTAGAAGTTGTAATACAGAACTACGCCCTCAAAAAACATGTTGTGTGCGCGCCCAATACAATAACAGACGTTTTTCATGACTCAAAGGTCCTTGATCTACCACTGATCTTGGGACGGACCTTATACCGAACTCAACGACACTATT